CCTACACATGACACATAGCGGGCTTTCTTTTGCTATCCAGTTCACCTAAACAAATGGTTGAGCATCTTCTGCCTGTCTTGGCCAGAGAGGATGGAGCCCAAGGCCCTCCAAAGTCAGGGATCTTGGGTGCTCCCATCCCCAATTCTGCTATAGCATGGCACCAAGTGGGAGCTGGAAGATATTTTACTCTCTTGAAGTCCCATTACTTGTGACTCTGTAAAATATTTTCTGTCAGAAAAATAACAGATACTTAATAAAAGTCTTTCTGGGGTCCTTTTCTCTAAGCTAAGGGTTAAAGGCAAAGACTTGTTCTCCGAGGTCTTCTACAAACAGCAAGGAGGACTTTGCACTTCGAGTGTCCTACACAGCAGGTGGGATCAAGGAGAGTGAGAAAAAGAAAAGAGATGAAAGGCAACTTGGAAGAAGCCAGATGCACAACACCCTACCAACAAACCAGACAGCAAAAACATGGCCACTGCTTCTGGAAAAAGGACCCAAACACCAGAGGTCCCTTCTCTGCTTTCCAGTCAGCTCCATGGGTGTTGATCGACTGTGTTACTTCTCCACAGGAATATAATGCAGATGAAAACACCCTGACACCTAAGTACAACTTCTGAGTAGAGGCCATGAGGAAAAGCCAGAAAGAATGGCTTTTATTTATATATTAAGAGGGAAAATATTCCATATAGAAATTATTACCTAGATACATTATTAGTCCAATCAAGATCAGATCAGAAGGGCAAAGAATTAGAAACAAGAAATTTGAGCAGGAGTGTCACCTTTCCACAGAAAAGCAAGCAGGAAAAGCTGTAAGACAAGACCACTGATAAATGGTTTGAGAGAGAGGGTTCTGTTCTGAACTCGCTTTTCCATACAGGGATTCATGATGTCCAGCCCCTGCTCTCCATCACCTGAGCGTTACTCTCAGCGGTAAGACCACGCTGGGCACGCTGCTGGCTGCTGAAAAAGCTTGTCATCAAAGCCCCAGTCAAAAACAGTCTGGTGTTAAATTTGGCACAAAGAGCTCATTCAAAGCTTTCTGAGGTCCAAACAAATCCACTTTTTTGTCAATGGATTTTGGGTGAAGAACTAAGGACTTGTGATCACAAACACATTTAGCCTTTTACACTGTACCAGAGTAATGTAAATCAGTAAATATTTGGTTTTAAGCAATGTTAACCAACACCTACAATAACATTACTCTAAGGATTAGATTAACGAATGCTGCGCAGTGCATTTAATTTTGGGACAGTTTGTTTTTAAGCAAAAAACCCTTTTACTGTTCCAGAACAACAACAACAAAATAAAAACACGAATACTGCAAATGAACAGGGGGGTTATAAAGACGCCCTGATGAAAATACAGGAAGAAATGTTCATTTTCTTTTCAATTTGGTTTAATGAAAATAATGTCTGAAGAGATAAAAGAGGAATCAATGTAAAGTGTGTAAGAGATTAAGATTACCACGATTACAGATGCTGAACAAACTTCTCTTGTCGAATGGCAACAGCTAACTGAAGTAGGTCACATACAAGTAAATAAAGGGGCACTGGGATGTTTGCAAACGTCCTCCAGCAGTTTTAAATAACTTTGGAGGTATTTCTAACCTGCAGCTGAACGGACGTGCTCTTTACAATTTGGCTGTATGACGGTGCCATGCCTTTAATCTTGAGCAATGGCAGCTCTTAAAAGAATTAAGACCGTGGTTTAGTGAGAAAAACATAAGCGAGCAGATGATTCTCACGTAGCTTCATCCACAGTAATCCTGCCCTTTTCCATACTAAAACACCAAACCTACTAAAGTGTAAGGAAAGGCAGGAGGGAGGGAGATGCTGCAATAACATAAGGAATAACAACAGATGAATGCAAACCACTGATGATCATTTTAGTGATGCGACCACCAAGGGCCATTACTTCCTAACTGTTCTTGCGAAAGCTAGACTGCTACTTCAGTCCTTATTAAAAATAACCTTTAAATGTGCATGACAGCAACGGCCACCTCTGAACAGCAGCTCCCCATCAAGCTGTGGCGCTCAGGGAACTGGCAGAGGCTCCCGGCTCGCTCCTGCGCTCAGAGGTTTTGCTGAACAGCGGCGTTTTGTTTCCAGCCCACAAGAGCCCATAGAGACACGCCAGCTTCGAGCCTGCGCTAGAAATCTTTCAAAGAAGGGATCTGACATTTTCTTTTGTTCTCATTTCTATAGTATTTTCTCCTCCGAGAAGGTTCTTTGAAGGATCTGGTGCTGACATTTAGCAAAATGTGAAATATGAATCGGAATAGCTGTTCATAGGTGGTGACGCAGCGCAGGACGGGGTGTCCCACTCAAGGGACACGGGCCAGAACACACGTAATTGTCCAAATGCTCCCACAGCTTCAATCTTTGCTGTGCTTTTTATGTCTCCCACACACAAATTAACTCACAAGCACCAGTACAGGGGTGCTACACTTTACCACAGAGGTTTTTCCTAGCACTCCATCACAATCAGAAACATCTCTTCCATCTCTCAAAACAGAGTTCTGTGACCAAAGGATGCTCACGCGTACAAATCTTTCCTGTCGCAATCACAAAAATTCCCCCAAATTCCCTAAATTAAACCTACTAAATAAATCTGTCTATGGAATAAAAGCTGATCAGAAGATGAAAGACATACCAAGACACCACTAAACTGCCCTTATTCAGTTACATATGACAGGACTCGCTGCAAGGGAACATTTTATAGCACCAGCATTCTTGGATGACAGTTGCATTTAATGCCATTATATTTATTCACTTACATTGCTGTCTACAAAACCTCACCACAAGAAGCCAAAATGCTCAGCACTACCGAGCTCCCTCTTCTCACTGTAAAGGCAATGGATGCTCTACAGGACCATTAGCATTCAGAGCCCCACACGGCCGTGACTTCCAGGCACACAAGCACACGCTGAGCAAATCACTGTAAATCCAATGGCCTGATTTCCCCAAGTGCTGACTTTCCAAAGAATAACCAAAGTCAGAAAAGAGAAACCGGATCTCAACTTTCCTGCAAAATCAGCAACAATTTAGGGCTTCAATCAAAGCTGTCGTTAACTTAAAATCACTTTGATGGTATTTTTATCACTTAAACCAGAAATGTTTGTTTTCACTACTTTTTTAAATGCAGAAACAAACAACAGCGTCTTCCACACAGAAGGGAAAAAAATGCTAAATGTTTATCTCCTTGTAAACACATGAGAGCATCTGAATTTCTATCCAGAAATCATTAAATATGATCGAATCTTTTAAAGTCTGCTAACACTGCTTCTGTAGCCTGCCTGTGTATTCACGTTTACAAAAGCAGTCAGCAAGTCAGTGAAAAATAGAGCCAGAAGATCTCCTGCAGAAAACCGAGCTGGACCGAGCAAGCCGCGTCCCATTCCTCTGCAAGTGTTTATACCAGTGCATCCTATCAAAGATAACGGATGGCTCACAGACACATTCCTTTCATGAAAGTATTTGCCAAAATACCCTGAAAATTTACAGTAAGAGTTTGTACACACTGGAACTTGCTTCCTTAAGCTCCCCTGTAACTAAAAAAAAAAAAAAAAAGCAGAATTCGGATCCCAAACACCTCAGCACTTCTGCTTCAGCAGTTGCCAGAGATTTTGGGCCATTTTGGTTTTATTTAGAAGCTCTCAGTAGCTCTCGCTGCTATAGTTAAGGGTCAGGCTTTCCCACCCTTGCCCTCTTCTATTTGCAAAATTGTCCAGGCGTACTTTGGGGAATGCCTGTGTTTACCCACCCCGTGTTCAACCAGGGATGTGATACAAATCCCCAGGGGCAGACCTCCAACTTCTCCAAGAAAAATCAGATCTATTTTACACAGTCAATTTGCACCTATGCTCCAAACCAAACAGTTATCAAAAGTGCCAAGTCTGTGGCACAAGGGTAACATTCCCAGGAGCTTTCCACTCACAGACAGGCTTCTTTCAGGTAATCTCATGAGTGTGATGCTGATACACGAACCACTGCATACACACACAAAAAACCCCTCACCTTCCAGGTATGTTTTACAACACTGACCATTTACAACAGCTCGTGCTATTTCATAAGAGAATACACAGAGAAAACATCAGTGTTTTTTGTACTTTGAGGTGGCTGCAGTGCAAAGCATAGGATGCAGATGAAGCAGGAGCACATTGGTGCACATCATCTCCAAGCACGGAGGCCAACACACCTTTTGAAAGATGCGTGGAGGGTTCCCAAAGCAGGGATCCCTTTCTCCCAGAGTTCTGACCTCTCTCCCAACCCACGTGTCTCATACGTGCCCCAGAGATCCTCACCGGTCAGGGACTGGTCCGCTCCCAGCACGTTCCATTCTGCCGGCAGTTTCAGGTGTCGAAATGCCAAAGACACTTTCTCATCCAAAAAGTCCACGTCGGCAGCAGGTGGTCCTGACCGGTTCAAGAACCGGGTGAAATTTAGTACCTGCTGGTTGCCAGCGCAGGTGGCCAGGAACTGGGCGGCATCATAGGCTTCATCCTGGACAAACTGGAAGCTCTCTTCTGCCACAACCAGGACAGAGTGACCTTCTCGAGAGGCACAAAGTGCCACCTTCACTGTCTCACAGCAGTCATGGCCTGCAAAATAAAACCAAGGGAAATGGTAAAAAACAATTGTGTGTGCTAAAGAAACACAACTGAGCCACTCCTTTGACACACACAGTCTTTACATTAAAGCAGGTAAGAACAAATTGAGGGTCACAACTCTAAGTTAAACACTGTCTTGGGAATTTATATGTATCATCAGAGATAAGTATTCCTTACAGACTTCAAAAGATACGCAATTCTTCTGTTTGACATAATATAAATCAAGAAATAAAAGCCACTCTCATGTGACCAGACTATTTCTGGTAAGCAACAAGTGAATTCAAGAGTGTTAAGTAATTCAAGTGAAGATTTTGCTAACATACCAATAGAAATGTAGAGTCCACACAGATTATACGGTCAAACTTTTCTTTTCCAGCTCCACAGGACTCCAGTAACTCACCAGAAACCAGAACCCGAGTGCTGCAAAACTACGTACACCAAATGCTGTGACAACACTTGGCTTGTACATAAAACACCGCAATTTCACCTAAAACAAAGACCTAAAAGAGCAGCAGTGGCTGTGAGAGCACGACCTGCCCAGACACGTCCTGTGCGTGCCCTGGCGTCCCACGCTCGCTGCTGCACCTGCCCTTTGTATTCGGGTTCACATAACAAAACAAAACCTAAGCTGCTTCTGCTAAATAAAAACATGGAAATGGCCACTTACCGTATTTACAAAACAAAAAGGTTGGAAGTTTAATAACTTTTAAGTTTATTTATTTATTTAGGGCAGGGGAAGCAAGAGAAAGGATGCCCTGGAGTGGCAGCGAGTGGCAGCAATTTCATTGATCCAGAAACGGAAAAAAAAATCCCAACAAAACCCACCACAAAACCCGTAACACCTTTGCAATTTTAAAATTAAAAAAAAATACTGTGTGTCCAACACGATCAGCACTTGTAAGTGTCAGACATGGCCCTTCAGTAACAAGGTTTGTGTCTCAGGTTCAGCGTGCGGCACAGTTTCTTGTTCCAGTCTCGGGCTGACGTCAGGGCTGTTTTTGCCAGAACAGCACGGACCCTGCACTAATTACTGGAAAAGCTTCTTTTTGCCCATGACCTCAGCATACTACTACATTCATGAAAACCTGCTTAATTAAATACAATATGACTATTTATTTTTAAAGGCTTGAAAATTCAATTTAAGCCCCTATTTGTGGTCAGTGGGAAAGTTTCCTTCTTGTGTCAGGGTCCTTTGCTGTTGATTTCCCTGACAAAAGGAAAAATATGTCCCTAATCTTCACGGTCTTTCAGCCAACCTTACAAATCTCTTCTGAGGCTTTTGGCATCTGTACAGGATTTTC